AGACAGAGTCTCACTCTGTCACCCTGGGTAGAGGTGCACTGGCAGCATCATAGCTCACTGCAACCTCAATCTCCTGGGCTCAAGCCATCCTCCTGCCTCAGCCTCCTGAGCAAGTGGGACTACAGGTGGGTGTCACAATGCCTAGCTAATTTTTTTCTATTTGCAGTGGAGACAGGGTCTCACTCTTGCTCAGGCTGGTCTTGAACTCCTGAGCTCAAGCAATCCTTCTGCCTCGGCCTCCAAGATTTGAGCTCACTTTTAACCTCGATAAGTTTTTGATGAGAAAATTTTCTCCAGTGGGTGAATCATCTGGCAATCTGTCCCCTCTAGCTAGCAACTAGGAGGTTATGAGTACGTCTGCTCAAGGGTATTACTTGTGGGTCAGGGATGGGTACTCACATCCTAGCCACCCTGCCCTTCACTACCACCTGGGGTGGGGGAGGCAAAGACTGGAATTAGTGACATCTGTAATTCAGTACATCTGTTGCAGCTGTGCCTCAGGAAGTTAACCCTACTTTGGACTTGTGTGTTGAGAGGAGAGGGGAACTCAGCTTTTCACTACTCTTCTAAGAAATCCTATACCAACAGGCAACCCCCCTTGCCGAGGAGGTAGGATTTATTGGCTAAATACTTGTATATGAACTTCCAGACTTGTACGGCCACCCTTGCTCTCCCAAACACTGCCTTCAGGAGACACTACTCAGCCAGCAGTTCAGTGTTTGGAGGCAACCCTCGCTAAGCTGGCTCAGCAATTCCCCGCAGCCCAACGCGAAGATGATCCCAAAGGCCTTAGTGTCTGTGTGGGGGGTGGGGTACTTTCCCGCTTAGCTTCCCTAAGCATTGCCACGGGACAGCTCTCTGGCTACGTCAGGATAAAGAGGCTAGTACAGGCACAGCTCGCACCCGCCAACCACTCCTAAGAGACTCCTTCCTTCCAAAGTATATGGCGAGCACAACGGGAGAAGTGGCAGCCCTAGTAGGGGCGAAAAACTGTGGTTCTTAAAGCCCCGTTTGCGTTTGGGCCCGCGCCGAGCCGCAGATAGAGGTAGATCCCCTCCCAGTGCACCCGCCATCAGCCCTCGGATTCCCAGAGAGGCCTCTCAGGCCCTTCAAGACCCCCCGCTTCCGGCTTCCAGGCCCAGACTTCAGAACCCTCAGGCCAGGGCCGGCCTCCAACCCGTCCTTTGAGGGCCCCTCAATCTGGCCCTGCGGCTCACCCTCGAGTGTCTCGCACTGCACCAGGTTGAGGTAGTCTGCCTGGCTGAGCACCCCAGCCTTCAGGCCGCGCACCAGTCCCTCCAAGTAGCCATTGTCCACGTTGAAGTAAAGCTCCGGGAAGAACGACATGGCTGCGGCGGGGACGGCGGGACTGGAGAACCCCGACCGGCCGGCACGCAACGCAACTCCGCGATCAGCTGACGCTGCGCCCAAAACGGGCTGTCAGGCGCGTCAGGTGACGCGCAAGAGCCTCACGTGACCACAACGGGGCGGGGCCCTGAGTGGCGCCCGGCTTCCGGGTGGTTTCGTGTGGAGGCGTTTGCGCAGGTGTGGGCTGGAAACGGTCCTCTGGCGCCTGCGCGTTGAAGGGAGGAACGCTTCTTGCGTCCCAACGAGAGAGCTACCTGGTTGTTTGAGGACCGCCGCGTGGTGGCGCCCGTGGCCGCAGAGATTCTATTGGGCCCTATTTCTATTTCTCCCGAGTTTGATACACCTGGCGCTCCAGGACCGGTGAGGTAAAGACGGGAGTGGGCGGTGCTTCTCTTGGTTGGGAAGATTCCAGACTGCTGAATCAGGCTCCCCGCCCCCCGAGAGAGGAACTGAGGTCCTGTGAGGGGCGGACTTTGCTGAAGGTCACACGTGGAAGTAGCCGCAAGCAGACCCTGGAGCCTAATGCTTATTCGCTAGCCCGGGGTTACAGCCCCTATGCCGCGCTGCGCCCAGCCTTCCCCTCGTTTCTTGTGCCAGATTCTCGAGGTCTGGAGTGCGTCTCTCCTCAGCCTGGCGCCCTGAAAGCGCATGTGTATGTGTCTCAGATGATGGGGTAGCTCAGGCCGTAGGCTTGGCGACACTGCTACCTCTGCCGTGAGCCCTCCCCCACTTCGACGAACACATTCGAAATAACCACAGCCTTGGGGTTGGTCCCATCCTTTATTCAAGCCCCCCTGCTCCGACCCAGACATCGGCCAGCTAGGTGCGGCTGCAGGGGTTCATGGCCGTACCCAGCTTGCGGCAGTAGCAGAAGGCGTTGAAGAAGCGGCAGTAGCACGTGGCGCACGGATCACAGCAAGGTACCTGCTGTCCCAGACAGGACTCGTGCAGCCGCACGCAGCGACGCGGGGAGCGAGGCTCGCGGTCCTGCGGGTCTAGCACCTGTAAGGATGGGGAAACAGGAGTGTGGGCACTGGCCTCCGAAGACAGGTCCAGGGACTTAAGCTGCACAATGTGTGCAGGATGGCAATGGAGCATTAGAAAGGGTGGTCTGCAGTGTCACCTCTTGTGAGGGGTTCCGGAGCTGGGGAGAGGGGACAGTACTTGAAGCCCCCTCCCAAGGCCTGCCACCTTACCCCTTTTCCTGAAAAGTTACCTCTGCCAGGGCCTCGGCTTCGGCCTCAGCCTCCTGCAGCAGAGCCTCTTCTGCTTGTTCTGCAGTTGTCTTCTTCAGCTGGGCCCAGCGGCCCAGGCCTGGAGCAGAGGATGTGAGGGCAGGACTCCCCCCATGCACAAAGCACCCACCTCACAGGTCTGGGATCGGGAAGGGGGGAGGAGGGCTTATACCAGGGGGGACAGTTTGTGGTCAGAGGGTATCCAGGCCCCACCCAGCCCTACCCCTGCCCACACTGACCTGGGAGCTCTGGGAACAGGGCCTGGTCAGGCCTTCTGATGCCCTCCAGGGGGGCCAAGCCCATCTGGGCGCCCTGTATGGCGGGCAATGCCAGCAGCAGGGCACAGCTCAGCAGCACTGCATTCAGCATGGCCTGGCCCAGCAGGAAGACCCACCACTTAGTCCCTCCTCATCCTCATAGTATCCTCTAGATGCCCAGATAGAGCCCCCTCCCCCCGCAGAGTAGGATTCGCTGCCTAACCTGAGGACTTACCTCTGCTTTCTGAATCCTTGCCTGGAGCGTTCCTGACCACCCTGTGCCCTCAGCTTATATAGCAGAGTCTAATGAAGAGCCCACACGTGACTGTTCTCTGCAGCAAGGGTGTGAGGGGCCCTCCCTGGAGGGTGGGGGCACAGTTCAGGCCTCGCTCCCTGGAACCTAGGCGCCTTTGTTGTTCTACAGGAGGGATGCCCATCTCTAATTTGAGGTGAGGTCTCCAGGAGCCAATTAAAGTTTGGGAACAAGATAGGGTGCCCAGGGCCCCAAAATTTCCACAGGACAGGGACCTAGCGGGTGGGCCAGGCTGAAGCCATTAGTAATAACAAGGCAGGCGGCCCTGGAAGTTTAATCTAATTTGTGGCCCCGGAGCCGCTTACTCAGACCCTGTGTGGCATGTTGTTTCCTTTGCTTCCAGGAAGTTGGGTGAAGGGCATTGAAGAGGGTGATGGGCCAGTGGTCATTGTGGGGCAGGGGTGGGGTACAGAACCAGAGCCTGGGTGTCTTTGTGGGGAGAGGGGAATGGGAGAAGCCCACCTAGCCAATAGTAGTCCCTCCTGACTGCATTTCTGGTCCTGCCTCCCCTCCCCTTTTCCTTCCAGGCTTCTCCAAATCCCCCCACCCCTCCTCTTGTCCCCAAACCATTTTCCGCCTAGGGTTCCTGGAAGCCAAGGAAGCAGAACGGACTGTACCCTGGGTAGGCGAGCCGCTTCAGAGTAAAAAGCTTTCAGGCTGCCTGCCTCATTAGTGCTAATGGCCACTCCCTTCCGCCCTGCGTTGTCAGGCCTCTGCCTCTGCCTGGTCTCGTCCGCACGAGGCTGGAATGAGGACTGCCCTTTTGTGGAGCTGGCAGGACACCCAGGACCCCTCCTGCCTGTGCCTTCCCTCACCCCTCTGAAGGCTTTTATAAAAAGAGACAGGGTCTCACTATATTGCCCAGGCTGGCCTCAAATTCCTGAGCTCAAGTGATCGTCCCACCTCAGACTCCCAAGTAGTTGGAATTAAAGGGATGCACCACCATGCCCGGCTTCAGGAGAGCCGTTTATATCACACATGCCCATCTGGGAAAGGGACGGAGTCTGAACCAGCTTTGAGGCCCCCATGCACAAACTGGGCTGGCCAGAGGCAGTGGGAAGAGGATGAAGGGGCTATTGAGGTTTTCAGCCCAGGTTCTCACAGGCTATTCTGACTACGGTGCTGGGAAATCCTCCCAGCAGTGGGTAGGGACCATAGGTTGCCACCTGGCAGTCTTCGGCCTAGTGTCCCCACCAACAGTTAGTGTTGTGTGCAGGCTGCATGGGGAGGAGCTGCTCTGTGGCTGGCTGCTTTCACAGATGGGCGCAGGTCACCGTTCTGGGGTCAGGCTGACGTTGGGTTCTTCTATGATTGGCTCAGGGTAACAGTCCTAGGAGATCAGAGGGCCACTTACTATTGCCCAGCCAAGGAAGGAGAGGGCAGGGGAGTCAGGGAGAGCATCTCTGAAGAGGTGGTCCCTGAATAAGACCCTTAGGTCAACCAGGAAAAGACCAGTCCCCCTTTCTCTTCTGAGAATGGTGTTGGCTGTTTTGGTGACTCTGTCACAAAGCAGACTTGGTATCAAGCTCTCTCTGGCAGCTAGTATTGACTTTTCTCTCCCAGAGACTATGCCTGGTCCTGGGGGCTCACCTCCCGGCTTTCTCTTCTCAGGGTGGAGGTATCGGGCACCCGAGTGTGCCCCCAACCTGGTTGGGCCACTTTGGGCTGATGAACGGCAATACATCAAATGTACAGGAGACACATCTCCTAGATCCTTGTGCCCTGGCCCTGGCCCTGGCCCTGGAGATTCTGGCTGAGGGTTGAGAGATGCAGGGACTGCATGTGGATTGGAAAGACACCTAGGTGAGTTGAGGTGGGGTCTCTGGGCACCTGGCTGGGCCCGGTCAGCTCCCATGCTAAGGGGGTTAGTGGGGCCTTTTCCCACCCAGATGCTCAGTGTGTTTGCTCACTTATGAGCTGTGGCTGTGTTCACCTAAGTGTGTGCACACAGGTGTATCAGCCCCGCAGGCAGCGATGGATGAAGGCTGAGGCGCTCACGGGGAGGCCATGTCCCTGGTCAGGTCCAGTGGGAATAATTGTTAATTTTTAAAGTTGTGATAATGGTATTATGATTATGCTTTTTTTAAAAAGCACCCTTATCTTTTAGGAAAGCATAATGAAGTATTTACTGATAAAATGATGTGAAGTTGGAGATTTGTTTTAAAATAATCTGAAGTGAGAGGTGGTATAAATGAAACAAAATCGTAAGTTGGTAATTGTTGAAACCCAGTGATGGGTACATGGGCTTCATTATCCTGTTCTGGCTATTTTTGTATATGTTTGACATTTTTCATAATAAAAATTTTTTAAATTTTAAGAAAAGAAAACTAGCCTTTCAGACTAATAAATAGAAGCTTCTAAGAATAAATAAGCTTTATTCCTATCCGTTGAGTAAAACTATGCGTCACTGTTGGATTAGTAATTTCTTTTACACACATTACAAAGATCCTGGGAAAAGAACAGTGCCCAGGCTATTTTCATTGATTGTTCAGATAACTTTGTAGTCCTTGCCTCACTAAATTTTTCACTGGGTTTTAACTGTGATGATCTTTTATTTGTGTAAGCCTAGAAAGCATTTTCTAGTAAAAATACATTTGTGGTGAAGTGGCTATCAGAGGTTTACCATGGAATAAACTGATTTCAAGAATCCTGGCAGGTTATCTGTGACAGATCCAGGCTCTCCTGCCACCTACTTCTTTCTCTCTTTCCTTTGCAGCTTTTCTCTTGGTGAAAAGGAACTTTTTTGGCATAATTACATCAAATTTGTGCTGTGAGGGTGATCATAGCACCAGAGGGGCTGGTTTTATGAAAAAGACATTCCACTCCAAAGAATCTGAAAAGGTTAAGGCTGTGAGGTGCCACCAGCTCTGATTGCTTCTTGCCTTCCAGAATGGACCCAGGAGCAGTGGTTTCTCCAGCTTTGACCACACAGGAAAGTGGAAGGATAGAAAAGAAGGAAAGGAGGGAGGGAGACCAGGGGAGAAAGGGCCTGAAGCTGACTCAGGTTAAAAGAGCCCAGGGAGAAAATCAACAAGAAAAAATCAAACG